AGATGAACAGTTCCAAAAGTCAAAATTGGACAAAAACAATGGGACGGAGGTAGTAAAATTTTTGAAAATTTTTATGTTAAACCTGGACTTTAGGACCCCATAATACAGAAAATATGTTAAGTATACTCACATATATATGAAGAAAATTGATGGACTGGGCCATCTTCTTGCAAACACATGCATTAGGGATGTTCATCGATCTAAGACCAGACCGAACTGGACCAACCCAGACCAGACCGAAGACTGAAATGAGTAAATTCAAGGACCGAAGATCGGACCTAAATCTATTCGGGTTTGGACCGGACCAGACCGAAATGTTTAGGACCGAAAAATATATATATTTTTTAATTATTTGATCAATTAAATATATTTTAGACTTTTTACTTTGTACCATTCAAATAGAAAATGAATAAAAAAAGGCAATCTTTAAATGGATACACAATATGAACTACTTCAATGTATAACCATAAAAACAAATATGAAATGTTTTTTTAGATTTTTTTAAAAATTAGTTAATAAAAAACCTTTTTAGTTAAATAAATTAAAATATCTATTAAAATAGAGCATCAAAGTGTAATACGAAACTTAAAAAGTAGAGTTTTAGTATTTAGGTCTTTTAGGTCCAGTAGGGTTATTAGGCCCAGTTGGTCTAATCGGTTCGGATCTAAGTCATTTCAGGTTTGGACCAAACTGGACCGAAACCCGGCCTAAATTTTCTGGACCGAAGACCGACCCGAAATCCATTCGGTCCGGGTTTAGTCGGGATCTAATTAACGGTCCAGTTCGGTCGGTTTTTTTGGTCCATACCTAAATGTGAACAGCCCTACATGCATATATACACAATGGTTCTTTTGACTTTGGAACCCCGATTCATAATATGGCCCGGACAGCTACAATGATCTGTTTGTAAAGATGATGTTTCATACTCCTAAACCCAACTCCTGGCCTGCCCACCCCACCACAACACCCTTGCCCCTCTCCATTTCGCGGATTGGCTACGGTATAAATTACCACCAAAAGAAAACATTGCAAATAAATCAAAGAACTCTCAACACCCATTACATTACTATTATCACACTATTATTCCTTTCCTCAATGATCCCCAGAACAGAAATGGCTGATCATCATCTTGACCATCCATCATCTTCTTCTTCATCACATAGAAGAGGTTCTGGTGCAGGGCGAAGAGGAAAAGCTTTTCTGTTATTAATGGCGTCTTTCGCGACCTCCATTTTCGTCGCCTTCCACATTTCTTCCTCCTCCCACTCTCTCAATAACATTCACCCCGCCCAAACGCGCCTTAGCCTTGTTCATAATAATAATAATAATAATGTCAGACGAGTGACAAGACCGCCCCTGCAGCCCGGCAACGTGACGTCCTCTTCGCCGGCGGCCGCGTTTTCCGATCATCTCCCCGGGGTTTCCGCGCTGCCGGCGAGTCCGCCGCCGGTCAATGCCGGCCGGAGGTCAGATGAAGGTGAGTTTTTTTTTTTGTTATATTTTCCTCTTATGGTATGTTTTAGCTATATATTGGTCTTTATTTTTGTCGGGGTATATTGTTTTATTCATGATGAAAATTAGTGCTTATTTTCTTGAAAAAAAATATAATTTTTTGGTCTTGGATTAAATTCAAAATTTAATTTCATGGTGTTTAAAGAATTCTTTGAAAATATAAATTATGTGATTGAAATTTGTTTTGGAATTGGGAAAAGAGTATTATATTTGAGTTCTTTTTTGCAACATTTTTACAAATACATATGCAGCATTTTTAAAGTCTCTTTTAACATTTTTATTGTCAATTTATATGCCATTTTTAGATATTCTTGTGGAGGGCCTAATTTTCCATTCTTTTCTTTTCTTTTTTTTTTGAAATAATTTTCCATTCTTTCTTAGTTTCTCATGATGTCTCATTTTTAACTTATTTAAAATTTTAAAGAGATAAATATTCTCTTATGAAAAATTTCAAATTTTTATATTTCGTTTACCTGAAAGTAAATTCATACTTTTCTTATTTCCTTTTAAGAAAAAGAAATGTGTACTTCACCTTATCAATTTTTTATTTTATTATACTTTTTGTAAATAAACTTTGATTATACAATTTTAGAACTTTTTAAACATATTTTGAAGTCAAATTATTATTTTTTTAAGAAAGAAGAAAGTATAAAATTAATGTTACCAATATTAGTTTTTTTTAAAGTACTTAAATTGTGGAATATTTTTCATACGCGTAATAAAAAAAATTGAGTTTTATTTATGTTTTAAAATTTAAATTGAGACAAAATTGAAGTGGACAAGCTAAGGCTGGAGATAAATTTGCCGTTGGGTCAAAGTTACATTTTTAAATAATAATGAGGTAAAATATAAAATTTTCTGTACATTTTTAGTGGAAACATTAATATTAATTACTGTAATTAATTAGTTCTACCACAGTCAAAGAAAGATTGCCGTAGACTTGTAGTGTTTAGATTATTCTTTGTTTGCAAATGAACAAAATGAACAAAGTGTAGATTAGTTGTAGACCATTCTTGTATTATTAATTTATTATTCCCTCCCTCCCGCAATGTTTTTCCCCTATTGACCTGACACGCTTATTAAGAAGTAATAAAAAAAAATCTTATATTTTTAAAAATACAAATAATATAAAATTAAAAAAACAATAAAAAGTAGATAAATGATAAAATAGAAGAATGTTATTAAAATTTATCCTAAAAAAGTATACTAAACAACAAAATGGAAAGAATATTTTCAGACGAGCTAAACAAGAAAGTGAGAATAATATTTTTAGAGGAGCAGTACGTAATGGAGAGTATAAAATGTTATTGTTAATCAAATCAAACTAATACTCCGAGTATTTAAAATTTTAAATTGTCATATTTGACTCTTTGAGGAATGAAGTTGCAAATATGCAAATAATAAACCCTTTCTCGTAAAATGATTTATTTTTATTATTTAAATTTTTTAATAATTTTTTTACTTGCATGTTTTTTGCTCATTTCATTAAATTAAATGGTTTTGTCACAATTTGATTTGTAAAATTTTTTATTTATTCTTTCTATTGCACGTTCAAATATTTGATTAAAATTATTTTCAAATAACTATATATAAAAAATAATGCTCCATATGCATTAAAAGATCATTACGCTTTTGAATCAACAAACAAATGCACATTTAATCAATATTTCTACATGATTAACTGATGGTGTAAAAACCATGCAAATAATAAGTAAGAATAAGCGAAAGGGCTGTAGGTAGAAACACATGTAACTCGATTTGTTATTAATGATAATGAGACTGTTTACAAAAGTATAAGCCGTATGGATTAATTAATTAAAGCATGCCTTCCTAATGAGGCTTTTACTCCTCTTTATAATAATGAACAAGCACGTCAAGCACGTGTTGAACGTCTCGACGTCACTGTCCTTCCGGCCGGTCGGTCTCCAACCGGTCAGTACACATGCCTTTGTCAGACGAAGTCACATTCACAATTCTGAATCTTCTCAATCTCGGCCGGTCAAGCTACTCGGGTTGACCAAGTCATGAGATGTCAAACTTAGGTACCTCTCAGCCGGTTGCGAACCTGCCGAGTGAAATCAATGGGTTAATACCCATCACTAACAATTTTTAAACTTTTTCGGTCCACAAAAGATATTCTGATTTTGAATTTTAAGAAATTCGATAGATGAATAGTTTTGGTATAAATATGTTAAGAATTATAAGAATAAAAATAGTTTTTTTAATATAAATGAAAATACTTTTGTGGGATAAGTAAAAAAAGAAATATGAAAGAGTTTTTGAGCCGGATAAGATATTTACGGGGGAGTATTCAATATGGATTCTGTAGCACTCCCTCCGTCCTAAAACTTTCTTCGCAGAGCACTATTCCAAGTTCACGGAAATTATATTTATTTGTGCTTTTTCATGGCCTATATGATAAAATAAAATATTCTTGTCACCACTTGTTTTGTTGAACTTTTGGTGTAGTTTTTAAATATGTATGTTTTATTTTTTATTTCTATACCAATATTTAAATAAAATAGATTAAAAAACTTGAGATTTTTCCTAATTTTGCGCAAAGGGAAGAAAGTTTTACGACACAGGGAGTATTTTTTTGGATTTCAAAAGTCTATGGGTATTCAATCCCGATTTAAAAAAGTCATTTAAAATCTGAAAGTATTCCATTCAAATTTTAATATATCCTTCTAAATATAATGGGGTATTCAAAAATCAATTGATTTTAAAAGATTTCTATAATATATGGATTTTGATGGATTTGAGGCTTTAGGTATAAATTAAAATTTAAGTCCAAAATCTCACAAAAAATGCAAAGATTTTGCAAATCTACGCAGGGTTGTATCCTTCACCATCTCCATCCCAATCTTCCCTGGCGAATCCTTCATCGTCACGCAGGATTGTTCCGTGCCCCCATCTCGCCCAATCTCCTTCATTGTTCCGTGCCCCCATCTCGCCCAATCTCCATCACGATGGCGGCAACTCGACATGGAGCACGATGATGACAACCCTCGAATTAAGCAGAGGAAAGGTCGAAGATCGAAGAAGAGAGAGGGGCTAGGGTTTCTGAGGAGGAAGAAGGGGAAAAAGAAAAGAAAAGAAAGGACAGAAAAAATAGAAAGAACGAAGATGGTGGAAGAAGGGCTAGGGTTTCTTGGGGGGAAAAGGAAAAAAGAAAAGAAAAATAAAATAAAAAAGGAAAAAAAAAATGGAAAGAACGGAGATGGCGGAAGAAGAGGCTAGGGGTTCATGGGGAGGAAGAAAAAAGAAAAGAAAAAGAAAAAGTAAAGAGAAAAAAAGAAAAGTAAAATATAATCATATAAAATCCTTTCAAAAAATACATTAGAATCTAAATAATCTATCAAAATCTTGTAAAATCTAAATTGAATACACCCTCTTTAATTTTTAATTCTAATAAATTATGTTTATGAGTTTCTATATTTAAAAATTATGTCATAATTTGTCCTTTGTGATATAAACGCATTTTTGAAGAAAAAAAAAACGCAATTTATTTTTTGGGTAGATGATGGATCAGGAAGAAGGGGGCGGAGAACGGCGGCGGAGGAGGTGTTTCACGAGAAGGACCTCTTCCTCGAAGACTACGCCGAAATGAACAGTACGTTAAAGATATTCGTTTATCCACACCAGAAAGACGACCCTTTCGCAAGTGCGCTGTTGCCGGCGGCCGGAGATCCCGGCGGCAACTACGCCAGCGAGAGTTACTTCAAGAAGTCCATCTTCAAGAGCCACTTCATCACCAAAGACCCGAACCAGGCGCATCTCTTCTTTCTGCCCTTCTCCGTCGCCGCCCTGCGAAACGACCGGCGGGTCGGCGTCGGCGGGATCAAGGGTTTCGTCAAAGGCTACGTGTCCCGCATCAGCCGCGAGTACCCGTTCTGGAACCGATCCGGCGGGGCCGATCATTTCTACGTATGCTGCTACTCCGTCGGGAGGTCGGCGACGGAGACGGCGGTGGAAGTGAAGTTGAACGCCGTACAGGTGGTCTGCTCCTCCAGCTATTTCCTGCCGGGGTACATCGCCCACAAGGACACCTCCGTGCCGCAGATCTGGCCGCGCCACGGGGAACCGCCGCGCCGTTCGCCGGAGAATCGGACAACCCTAGCCTTCTACGCCGGCGCGTTAAACTCCCGGATCCGTAAAGATCTGGTCGGGATCTGGGAAAACGACGAGGAGATCTCGGTCCACCGCAGCCGCCTGAAAACGCCGTACGCGGAGGCGCTACTGGGGAGCAAATTCTGCATCCACGCGAAGGGGTACGAAGTCAACACTGCCCGGATCGGCGACGCCATCTACTACGGCTGTGTGCCGGTGATACTGGCCGACTTCTACGATCTCCCGTTCGCCGACACCTTGAACTGGGAGAGCTTCTCGGTGGTGGTTGCGACGGCGGAGATGCGGCGGCTGAAGGAGATACTGAAAGGGATAAGCCACGGGGAGTATGTGAGGATGCAGAGGAATGTGGTGAAGGTTCAGGGGCATTTCCGGTGGCACAAATTTCCGGTGGATTTCGATGCGTTTCATATGGTTTTGTATGAGCTTTGGCTTAGGAGAAGTGTTTTAAGACTTTCTTCTTATCATTAGCTTCAGAAAAATGGTAAGGGACCCATTTGTCCCCACTCCCCACCTTGTTCACATAATTGGGCAAGAAAATCAAAAATAAAATTAATTAAAAATGGGTGATTGAGAAAGGGATGGTGTACAAATGAGATACACTTTTGGTATATCTCTAGCAGTGCTCTAAGCTTCAATAGATTGACTCTATTTTTTACATAATAGATTAAAAGGGAATATTGTTTGTATTATATTGCCATCTTACAAATTGTCACAAGAAAAATTATGGGAATAACCTCCATCATCATCATCATCATCATTATTATTATTATTATTATCATTATTATATCTTCAAGTTATTTTTCCTCTCAAATGACAAACCGATAAAAGCAATAAATTTAATCATAAAAGCAATAAATTTTATTCATTTTTGAATAACTAATATGCATTTAATTTTTTTGAAATTCAGTTATGTTCCAAAATAAATATTCAAAAGTAAGTATTCGTGTGCATGTACAAGAATGAACATACATTTGGATGTATGATATATGTTATCTAAAACAACTAAGAAAAATTGAAAATATTCACAAGTAAAAAAAACTTTTTAAAAAAGGTGGTGGGACCGTTCCTCTAAGTTTAGCCGGTTCCAAATTTTGAGAATTCGCCCAATATTTTTTTTGATGGCAAGAAAAACTTCATTCATAAGAAATCAAATGTGCAATACAACTTGGTGGTGTACGGCACCATGAAACCATACGGGACGTAGCACACCGTGCAAGGGTATGGGCAATACAATTACGATTCCTACGAATAAAATGAAAATCAATAGATGTAAACGAAGATAATAAATCAGCACACTCGTCAAGAACGGAACGTAGATAAGAGTAGCACTCAAAGGCCCTTCCTTTCTTGATAGCCCCCACCAAAACCTCACAGTGAGAAAAAATTTCAACATCGCGAATACCTCGAGTCCTCAACCAAGCAAACGTTTCTTTGTAAGCAAGAGCCTCCGCCAAGAGAGGATCTAGAGGCCCAAGTTTTCTTCCATTTGTCGCTGCCACATATACGCCCCTTGGATAAAAAAGGATACAACCGAAAGAGATGGAATCCTCCAAATCTGATGTCGCAGCATCAAAGAAACACCTTGAGCCTCTGCCCATAAACTAACTTCGTGTCGTTGTGAAGTATGTTTCCGCTCCGCATTAGCCTTGTTCGACCATTGAGCTTCCATGGACAGTGCCAATTTCTTAAGCTCGCCTGGAAGCACTGCCTTATGATCTCAAGTGGCTATGTTTCGCGCTTTCCAGATTGCCCAACAAGTCCAAGCAATGGTACGCAGCTCCATCAGAGTGTCATTCTGGAACCGATCTTAGAACCAATTCTGGAAGGAGATAAATGAGGCTCTATTCCCTCTTTTGCCCATGAGCCTCCAAACTGAATCTGCAAAAGGACAAAACAAAGATTTTGCCCAATATGGTGGGACTTGATTAGAATCCCAAGTCATACCTTATTTTATTTAAATTATTCTTATTATTTAAGACTACTTGTTCTTATGGGATTCAATCAAATTGGATCTAAAAAAAATCTGGTTAGATTGGAAAGGCTTAGACCAAATCAATCAAAAAAAAATTAATTTTCATTGAAATAGGATCAGACCATAAAAATTTAGAGAAGATAAAAACCCGCTCCACACCATCAGACTTGGACCATAACGATTTACATTTCTTGTTACTACTCCCTTCCTCTCTGATGGTATAAATAATCTTGATCGATATATCGTTCTTAGCTTGGCAATAACAAAAACTAGTCTAACAAAATATACCAAAATACTAAAACATGGATTTTAACATAAAACCTCAATCGAGAAAAAAACATGGCCTTTTTTACCAATACGTTGGCAATGGAGAAATTTTTATTAATATCAGAGATTGTGCACGGTACAGAGCTTGGGCCTAGAAGTCATTAATGGATACTTGCAAGCTTCTTGAGAAAGAAGAAAATACAAAGAATGTATAAGGGAGTGATGAGCGGATGGAAGCCCCCTTTCCTTGTGAGGTAACCCACTTTTATAGGAGAAGTTAGAGAATCTTTGGGGGCGGGGGGGAATATTCTCTTAGTGTCATCTTCAATCTTCACTCGTTGCAATCTTGGTCGGTTGATCTTGCTGGCTCTACGAGTTCTTGAATTAATTCTCTATTTTCTTGAATAAAGTGTTTTTCCTGCAATGTTATGCACAACATTTCTTGGTCATCCAGTTCTGTGCTCAAGCATAACGATTATTTTTAATGAGTAGCTCGGTGTTAGAACAGATAAAACACCTATGAATAATTATCGTAACGAGAGTGATGTAAATTTTGATCATAAAAAACTTTAGATATAATTAGAATCAAATCAGATCAGATCTAATTAGATGAGTCTAGATATTCAGAAAATTAGGATAGAACTGGTGAACGAAACACAACCTAAGGCCAAATAGATTTAGTGCCCCATGTGGTTTTAGGCTTCAATACGCCCTTTGTTTTCAAAATATATTTACAAATTTTTTGTGGTTTCAAAATATTGAATACACACCTTCTCAAATTATTATCCGGCCATTTTTTTGGTGATGAGTGAGGTATTGGTGGTTGTTATTCGAACTACATGGGACACCGAAGCTCATTTCTCATTTTCCTTTTATGTTTTATCCCCCCCTTCTCTTCTATAATTGTTTCTAATTTCATCTATTAAGTTTTTATTATTTATTTTTAAAGATGTATTTTATAATGTTTTAAAATTCAAAATTGTTTGTGTTCGAAATATAAAATAATTAACATATCCTCCATGTGTAGATCTCAAATTTAAAAAAATTTATTGTTTGTTTTCCAAAATAAAAAGTACTCCGTATTTTTTTTGGGAACTTGAAAGAAAGGGGAATAAAATAGGAAATAAAATAAAAAATTAAAAGAAATATTATTTCCCCGAACATCATAATTCTAAGACTCTTTTAGGTGTTCCAAAATTTTTGCAAATCATAGTAGGACTAAAACATTAAAATATATCAAAATATGACTTTCATGCTTTTATTCCTGAAATAGAACTTAAAATGCATTTACATTACCAAAAATGGTCATGTACATTATCAAAAAGTATAATAATAGGCACATCTACAGTGTCACATTACCACAGTGCAAAGTCCTATTTCACGGAAAAATATGAAAGTTCTATTTTGGCACTTCTCTATATGTTTTAGTACTATTTAAGGTGATTTCTATATTTTCATTTTATTTTTCTATATTCTTATTTTTTTAGTTTTTGAACTTTCCAAAAAGATTTTTTTTTAATTCTAGAAAATAAAAGTTGAAAGTATTTAATTTGAGATAGATGGAAAATACATTTGTTTGTTTTTCATTTTTTAATTTTTTTATTTCAAACAAAAAAAATTGAATTTTGTAAAATATTATAAACAACAATTAGAAAAAAAATCAAAAATGCTTTTCTAAGAAAAGTATGAAAAGAAATGAAAAAAAGATAAGAAAAAAACTTAAAAGACAAACAAAAAATGAAAACGGGCATTTGATGTCCCTTGTCGTTTGGGAAATGAACACTTATGTCTCATTTTTGTCCGCAAATGATCAAAAAATAAACAGTGACGATGTGTATGCAATATTTTAAAATCAAAGAAATTTTAAAAGTAAATTTTGAAAGATTAAAAGAATATTGGTGTCAATTTGTTAAATTATCGCCGGAGTACTAAGAGCCTGTTTTTTAGAATTTAAATTCTTAACTTTGAGTTTCTTTCAGCCCTTCCAATTCTTTCCACTTTCTTCCAATTCTTTCTCGTTTCTTCTAGTTTCTTACAATTCTTCTAGTTCATTATAATTCCTTCTAGTTTCTTCCAATTTTTTTCTAATTCTTTCATGTTTTTTCCAGTTTTTCCAACTATTTTTATTTTCTTCAAAACTCTTTCTACATTCCGACCAATTATTCTAAAAACGATATATTATTATTATTACACTTATTATTTTTCATAACTACAGTTTATAAATTATTTCATTTTTTATCTCACTATTTTTATCATAAAATATATTATTTTATGATAAATATTGCATAAATAAAGTGACGTGCAGCGTAGCCACAATAACTTTTAAATATTTAACATTTGGTCATTTATGCTAATTTTATATTCTAATTATTTTTTTTGGAAAAGTACTTTTTTTTATCTAAAAAATAATAATATTTTTTATATCTTAAAGATATTCCTTAAGATAACGTGATGACAAGAACAACAATAACAACAAGAATATTATTATTATTATTATTATTAATTTATAATAACAAGAATTAAAATGAGAGTAATATAAAAATATACAAAAAAAAGTGTTTCAATTTTTTTTAGATTTTCTAGTTATTTCTAGTTTTGTCAATTTCATTTAGGCCCCGTTTGGTACACGGAATTCAAACTATGGAATTGGAATTGAGAACTTCAATTCCAATTCTGGTGTTTGGTAGCAAAAAAATTATGTGAATTTGGAATTAATAGTGCAAAAAATGAATTGGAATTATCATAATTCAATTCTATGGAATTGAATCTCATGAAATTTCAATTCCAATTCAATACCAAACACCAGAATTGAAATTGAAGTATTCAATTGAGTAATTTACCTAAATAGGACTAAAACATAATGACTTTCCCAAAATAGGACCATATGTTTTTATTTCCGAATGTAGGACCTTTGGTCATTATTCTTTAGTCATTATTCAAGTAATGTCTATCATTGGTGGACATTATTCCTTCCACGAAGACATTAATAAGTCCTATTTAGGGAATAAAAAAGTTTAAGTCCTAGATTAGGAAAGTCATTATGTTTTAGTCCTATTTAGTGCAAATTTCACTATTCAATTCTAGTTCCATAATTTAAATTTCGTGTACCAAACGGGGCCTTAATATTTTCCAATTTTTGTAGTTTTTTTCGAGTTCCACGTGGGCTTTTTTTAGAGTGCTAGAAATGGGAATTCTGATTTCTGAAATCGAATTGGACCGCGTCCCTTCCGTGTCCACTCCCCCCCTCCTTACGCGGGCGGCGACAAGTAAAATACTCCGTGACTTTTGAGGGAGCTGAGTATATGATCCATCTCCCCTGCAGGAGCACATGTGCCTTTGCAGAATTGCAGTGGCTGCCGATCGTCGTCCGCACTGGGTTATCAATACAGTCCAGATCTCCCTTCTTTCTCCGAGCTTCGTCTGAAACAGCTCTCCATCTCTCCTGCAGGTCATGTCAATCTCTTACTTTTTCCCGCCCCCTTCCGTATATTTCCGCTCGCCTCTGTTCCGGTCGATTTCGATCTCTGTTGTTATTGTGATTTGGTTTCGATCGAATTCATCCTGTCTTTTGTTTCCGCAGAAGCTTCGATCTGATCTGGTGTAATTGATCATTTGATCCTGCTTCAAGTCCAAAGGAATTCGCTTCATTAATTTGAGCTTGATCTTTGACAATTTACATTTATTTGTTCATTCATTTTTCCTTTCTGCAAAACATTTTGATTGCTGTGAGCCTTGTTGACTTTTTTTTAGCGATCATAGATTTTGGTTTAAGATGACTTCGTGAAAACAAATTGTTTCTAGCTTGCATGTCCGCTGATTTTCATTATTTTTTGGGATGTTAGGCAGCTGAATTCGTCTGAAACGCTGAGATAAGGGGAGAAGAAAATGATGGAAAAGGAAGAAATTCATGTGAAGGTTGAGAACAAGATCAGGTCCCATGAGAAGACAGAAAAGACTGAGGTAGATATTGATGTGAAGAGCAAATCTCTGGAGAAAGAGAAGCATGAAAAGCACAAAGGCGAGAGTGAGGGCAAAGAAGATAAGAAGAAGATGAAAAAGGAGAAAGGCGAGAAAGTTGTTGAGGATGGAGAATCTGAAGATTCGGAAAAACTTAAAAAGGGCAAGGAGAAGAAATGCAAAGGTAAGGAAGAAACGGAAGATGGAAAAGCTACCAAGGAAGATGAAGAGAAGAAACACAAGAAGGATAAGAAAATAAAGAACAATGAGGATACTGAGGCGGAAGCTCTTAAAGACGGAACCCAAGAGAAGGGCGAGGACACGCATGGAAAAGAAGATAAGAAGGACAAGGTGAAGAAAGACAAGAAAGAGAAGAAGGATAAAGAAAAGAAAGGTAAGAACAAAGAGGTATCAGCGGGAGAATCCAACGATGAAGCTTCAAAGGAAGAGAAAGACGATGATGAAGCGAAGCATAAGGAGAAGAAGGGGAAGAAGGAAAAAGAAAAGAAATCAAAGAGCAAAGACGTGACTGAGTTGGAACTTGAAGGGGAGGACAAAGAAACACATGATAAGAAACATAAGGAGAAGAAAGACAAGAAGAGTAAGGAGGACAAAAAAGATAAAACTAAGAGCAGAAATGATGCGTCGAGTGGAGAATCCAAGGAAGGTAACAATGACCAAACACACGATAAAGAAGCGAAGAAGAAATGCAAGAAGGAAAAGAAGGATAAAGAAAAGAAAACTAAAACCAAATCTGCATCCGATGTTGAATCCAAGGACGCATCAAACAAAAAGGAGGACAAGGAAAAAGAAAACAAAGCAGAGAACAAGGAGGAGAAAGGCGTGAAGGACACGGATAGCGTAGAAAAAGGAGCACATGAGCCTGAAGTTCTTACTACGAGAGAGATACGTGTAGATGGAAGTGAATTAGAGGGCACATGTAAGACCGAAAAGAAGGAAGACGAGAGCAAGGAAGAGAAGAAAGATAAGTCCGAAAAGAGGAAAAAAACCGAAGGAAAGACCAAATGCAAAGACCTTGATGGACTGAAAAAGAAGCTGGATAAAATCAATGCAAAAATGGAAGGTTTAGAGCAGAAGAGAGCAGACATCTTGAGACAGATAAAAGAAGCTGAAGGTCATGAGACAACTGTTAATTAGCTTGCCAAGATTGTTCCCGGAGACGCCGAAGTGAAGGCTTTTGCTGTGGCAGAATGATGCACATCCAGGTTGCATATGTTCATGTTTGAATGTCTTTTCTGTATTTCCATGTTGTGTGTTTACATCTTAATAATGCGCAATATTGTGATGTGTAAGTGTGTAACATAATAGAATGTTAGTTGCGTCCTGATATATGTTTTTTATCTAGTGATTCTGCTAATTTATATACTAATAAACATGTGGATAATATGTTTTTTCGTGGACCTTACAGAATTCTACTACCTCCGTCCCAAAAAAATTTACACGTTTTGACTAAAATTGAAATTAAGAGAGATAATTTTGTGTTGACTTTCCAAAAATACCCTTGATGTGATGGGTAAAAGTAGAATGTGATGTGTAGATTATTAGGAAAAAAGTATGATGTGATAGGTAAGGTTTGAAAAAGTAAGGGGTAAAAGTGGTTTTTTAATAGAAATGGGTAGGAGACTGTGGGACGCAATTTTTTTGAAAAGTGTAAATCTTTTTGGGACGGAAGGAGTATTTCTTTTCGGTCCAAAAGGTGGAATCGCCCACCCCAGGCGCCCCCACCCCCTTGCCAGACAGGAATGGTGGAGGATGTAAATCATGGTGACTCAGTCGGCCAAGAACGCTAGACCCGTGCCCACCGCGCACAAGGAGCCTCCTCACCCTTTATAGGATTTTTGGATAGCTCCCACACTGACGCTTGCGGAATTCGATCCTTGATCATCGGTCCAAGATTTCACACTCTTGACCAACTGAGCTACCCATGCGGGCGGGCGAGTATTTCTTTTCGAAATAGACAGCATGGAGTACTAGGGAAATGGGTATCGATACGAAATTACTTGAAAATGAAATAATAGTTTCAGATTTGAAGAAAAGTACAGTAACTTACAACACGTATTGAATCATTCGAAGAAATCCAAAATAAAAAAAAATCACATTGGTAGCATATTCGCGTATAGATTAACCATTGATGAAGCAAATTATTTGCTCCATGCATAACTATAAGAGCATGAACAATGGCAAGGAAAAAAAAGAATGCCACACGCTGACATGACATAAATCAACCAATAAAAAATGGTCCAGTCAGAGAGTGGCAAATAAGTGGAGTGGCGCACCCTACAGTGGCAAGTCGTTACTTTTGTCACTTTTTAAAATTTTTGTAATGTATTTTAATTATTAAAAATAATTTTTGCTATTTGTTTCATTTTCTTGACATATTTGAATTACTAAAAATTATTTTACCTATTTATTTTATCGAAAACATATCTCTACTTACTCAAAAAAGTAACAGATTTTTTTTTAAATATTTTAATTATGATTTTTTTGTCATCTATTCCATACGAAGTATTTTATTTTACCCCTTCATCTCAAATTAGATTACAATTTTAGAATTACAACACAAACCTCATGTTTTTTGAAATCATTTTATTTAAAAATTAGTATAAGGATAAAAAAACTTACATATTAAAAAAACTACGTCAAAAATTTTACAAAAAAAAAGTGACTAGTATTTATTTTAAAGAATAATCAATGAAAACATACAAATAAACAAAAAATCGAGAGGTGAGGGAAAAAATTATAATGTATTGCGGGATGGAGAAAGTAAAAAATAGTTCTATTACCTTACAAAAAAATATTTTTTTCTCTAATAAAAATTTAAAAGTAAAAAAGTAGGGTGGATTGCCTTGCCCAAGCCTTGCATACCGTGGAGAATTGGTAATTCCACGCGAGGAAGAAATCATTTTTGGCTGAGGTGGCGTGGCATGGCAGAGGTGTGGAAGCCGCTGCCCATGCTCTAAGAGCATGAACAATGACAAGTTAAAAATAAAATGTCACACGCTGACATGGCTTTTTCTAACCAATCAGAAGCAATCCAGTCATACAGTGGCAAGGGAGTGGGGTGGAACGTTGTGCAGTGGCAAGTCATTGCGTTTGTTCTTTTGTAATTTACTTTCTTTATTAAAAATTGTTCTAGTCATATTTTTTTATTAAAAAAACAATTTTACTACTTTTTTTAAATTCAATACGAACTACGGAGTATTAGATATCTAAATTCATACTCTGTAATTATTGAATTTAATAATTCAAAAATCCTAATTAAAGAAAATAAAAATAAATAATCAAAGAAATCACTCCCTTTACACTAGACTAATCAATAAATTAATCCATGTTTGGTTCACCCCCAATACGGTCCAAGCTTTTCCATCCACCAATTTCGCCAGAAATCTTGCCGTGTATGAATAGGAAGCCAACAGTGTATCTTCACCGGACAAGGCGTGGCAGTGTTTTGGAACGCCATTGTGGGTGCTCTAAGAACATTATTATCCCATAATATATACACTCCCTTCGTCCCTAAATAAAGTTCTATTTTTGGCTTTTTGAGGATTTAAGAGAGAGATATTTTTGTGTTGACTTTCCAAAAATACCCTTGATGTGATGTGTAAAAGTAAGATGTGATTGGTAGATTATTAGTAAAAAAGGTATGATGTGATAGGTAAGGTATGAAAAAGTAAGGGGTAAAAAGGGTTTTTTAAGGAAAAAGAGAAGTTTATTTGGGGACAAAGAAAAAACGAAAGAGGAACTTTATTTAGGGACGGAGGGAGTAAAAGAGTAATGCTAAAGGCACAAACAACTTGGTGACAAACATGTCATTTCTATATTTCAATTTCATTTTTTATTGTTTAAAATTTAAAATATTTTATTCACCTGGTGAGGTGCATAATATCACAAATGACAAATTTGTATAGTTTGTAGCTCATGATTTTAACATTTCTCTAGATAAGAATTGCCTCAAAATCACAATTGCCACATATTAGCGTATAGATTAACACACCCATTTGATAAATACTCCGTACTTGGATAGTTGTATAGATTTCCATCCTTGGATACTTGTATGACTTTAGGATGGATACAATACTTTTATACTTGGATAGTTGGATAACTTCCGGTCAGCAGTACGTATTTTAATGTTTTTAAACATGGGTATAGATAGGGTTAGGGCTGTTCATCGGTCCAAGACTGGACCGAAAACGGATCAACCCAGACCGAATTGAATCGGACCGATCCAGACCAGATCGAAGACAAATTTGAATAAAATCACGGACCAAAAATCGGACCTAAATCTATTCGGGTTTGGACCGGACTGGACCAAAATACTTAAGACCGAATCGGTCTGGACCGATTGGATCGAATAAAAATACATATTTTCAATTATTTTGATCAATTAAATATATTTTAGGATTTTTACTTTGTACCGTGCAAATAGAAAAAAATTTTTTAAAAAATGCAACCTAAAACAAATACACAATATGGACTACTTCTATGTAGAATCATAAAAACTAATATGAATTTTTTAAAAAAAATTGGAAAATTACGTAATAAAAAACCTTTTTAATTAAATAAATCAAGATATCTATTCAAATAGAGCATCAAAGTGTAATACGGAACTTAAAAAGTAGAATTTTAGTATTTAGGTCTTTACTTCAATAGGGTTATTAGGTCCATTCGGTCCAATCAGTCTGGACCTAAATCATTTTGGGTTTATACCGGACTAGACCGAAACCCGAACACTTAAAATTTCTGGACCAAAGTTCAACCCAATATCCTTTCGGTCCGAGTTTGGTTTGGACCTAACGGTCCGATCCGGTTAATTTTTTCAGTCCAGCCCTAGATAGAGTGAAGAGTCGAGTGACGGGTGACAAAAAATCCATGCGCATCCAACTTTGGTCTATCATTGAGTTCATCTACTATCATCTATGTTGTTTCAAATATTTCTTTGCTATAACGATTAACGAATCAGGTAACTATACAGATTTTCGGTGGGTTAGATGAAAATTTATATTCCTAACAATAAGATCATATTTTCTTCAAGTTATTACTTATTACTTATTGGAATCGTATCATACTAGACCAGATAAAACAACTTTAACTAAAATTAGGCTTGCCAAAATATTTTAAAAGGCCATGCGCTATTTAGTAATTTAGGCTCTAAACTTTCAAAGTTAAAATAGAAGTTACGATAATGCAAAAGTATTAAAATTGGTTATTCCATTAAGAATTGTATGTGTGTGCAATGCAAGATAGAATAATTATTTTTTCTTTTACAAAACATGGGAATGAAAAGTTAACTTGTTATAAAAAAAGTTGACTTGAAGAAGAATCACTTTTAGAATAGAAAAAACAAAATAAAAAAATGATTCAATTTATAAATCTGATTTTTAAAACTGATATTAGAAATGGACCAAAAAAAGATGAGTTTTAAAACAAATTGAAGATGCAAAAAATAGGCAAACAAAACAAATTATATTACTCTGCAGTTCTTAAAGAACTGAAAATAAAACTACTCTGTAATTAACGATGTAATCTGCGAAGGAAAAATAAAATACTATTAACACATACCTAAAAACAAATTAAAGAGTGAAAAATCACAAAGCAAACCTATATTACTATAGAGTATTTTAAAAAACGCATGCTTAACAGGTACATTTAAAAAGAGGCCAAATATCGCTGATACCTCTCGTGATTTGCAAAATAAGCACTAATACCCCCTCTGTTTCCAAAACTCATTTCTAAAGTCCCTGTGGTTTCAAAATGTTGCACCCATGCCCCCTCTGATCATTTTCCGGTCATTTTTCCGGCGAAGAAGGAGGGCATTGATGCATATTTTTTAAACCACAGGGGGTATCAATACTGATTTTTATTTCTCGCATATTTTTTGTTTTTTCCATTTTTTCTTTTTTTGTTTCATTTATTAATAAAGGTTTTTTTAAAATTATTTTTATAATGTTCGTAAAATTTAAAGTTATTTTTGTTTGAAAAAAATAACATATAATGCATATGTACTTCTCAAATTAACAAATTTTGTTTTTTCTGAAAAAAAGTAATTTTTTTAGAACTTCAAAAAAATGAGGAATAAAATAAGAAACAAATTAATACAAAAATAAAAATGAATATCCTCTTTGGACATCTTAATTCTATGGACATTTTTAGGCGTGTCCAATTTTTTTTGTATAAGACTTTTTTTTGCGTATTTTAATTTTTTTTATTTCATTTTTCCATATTTTCATTTTTTTATTTTTATTTTCATTTCAAACACAAAGAATTTGAAAATTTTTGAAACATTATAAAAAATTTAAAATATATTTAAAAAAATATAGGAAAAG